AGAGTATAGAGTATAGAGTATAGAGTATAGAGTATAGAGTATAGAGTATAGAGTATAGAGTATAGAGTATAGAGTATAGAGTATATAGTATAGAGTATAGAGTATAGAGTATAGAGTATAGAGTATAGAGTATAGAGTATAGAGTATAGAGTATAGAGTATAGAGTATAGAGTATAGAGTATAGAGTATAGAGTATAGAGTATAGAGTATAGAGTATAGAGTATAGAGTATAGAGTATAGAGTATAGAGTATAGAGTATAGAGTATAGAGTATAGAGTATAGAGTATAGAGTATAGAGTATAGAGTATAGAGTATAGAGTATAGAGTATAGAGTATAGAGTATAGAGTATAGAGTATAGAGTATAGAGTATAGAGTATAGAGTATAGAGTATAGAGTATAGAGTATAGAGTATAGAGTATAGAGTATAGAGTATAGAGTATAGAGTATAGAGTATATACAGGCATATGTATATAACTTTCAGGTTTATTGCCAAAATTCTTATGCTTAACATTTTCATTCATCGCATCGCGCTGCGCATTTCATTTCATTATTTATTTATTTATATTGAATATATGAATGAAATTCATGAAACAACTGTGCTGGCAGCCAAATTGATTGACGAAATTTTGGATATTGATCAAAAAGACACGCAACGCCGCCGTTGATAACGTCATTTGACTGGGTGCCATTTGGTTATTTGTCTATTTGTCTATTTGTTTATACATTTATATAATCTGTTTTGTTTCGCTTTGGCCAACCCGAAATTCGCATTATTTAAAATGCTGTCTAAATAAAGCAAGAGCTGGCCAAAGTATACATATGTAAATACTATGCCACATATGTGGCAGCAGCTCATCCGGCCATAGACTTATAGCCAACAGATTTATACAATAACTTAGCAAAATTAAAGGCACATAATTCAAAAGAGAACATAAAAACATATTTACACACACACACACACACACACACAAATATATATATTTATATATATATATATATAGATTTTCAAAATAAATGTTTTAAGCAAACAGAATACGTTCGCGAAAATTGGCCACGAAGGCCGCTCTTAGCTTTTATTTAGTTTCCATTTGGTTTTATTCATTTATTTTGTTGAAATTGTATTTGTTTTGTGTAGGCTTGAGGAAGTGTAAATATGCTTTATATGATATTTATTTTGAAATTTTTCATCAAAGTTTGTTTTTATTTATGGGCCGACATTTGCGCATTCCTTTCGTGTGTGTATGTGTGTGTGTGTGTACATACAATATATGATGTCGCTCATTGCTGATGCAATGAAAAATTAAAGAACATGTTAAACTGCTGTTATTTAATTACAGCTCGTTAATTAAATTATTTGCCACGTGTAGGATTGAATTGAATTCAAATTTGAAATGTGCCGCCAAGCCAAAAGTAAATAACAACAACAGTTGGCAACGCGACCGAACTTTATAGCAGTTAACAAATCTGGCAACGCCAGTTTGAGCTTGAATTTGCTTGTGCATCATTTTGGCTTTCCCGTTGACAGCGTTTTTTTATTTAAAGAGCTTCCATTCTGTTTGTTGCACTTGCAGGAATCACCGCTGTCATCGAAGGTGGCCATGTTCAACAATCAGGCGACACAGCATAAGCAGTCGCAGTTATTGAACCCCTTCTCGCACGATGGACGCGCCGCATCGCCGAAGCCAACTTTCTCCAAGGATCAGTATGGCAAGCCGCTGGCCGGCAGCCTGACAGAGATGCGCGGCCAAAAGGCCAACATGCATGTGATGAAGGAAATGCTGGAGCTGTGCCAGATCATTGACTCCGAGGGCTATCAGGTTAAGGATGAGCCAACCATGCGCGTCATACCCTTTGGCGAGTTGTTCAACGTAAGTCGATGACCTCGCGTATGTGGGCGTACTTTCACTGACGCCTGCCTCTTTGTCTATTCAGATTTACAACTACATTTCGGACAAAGTTGTCGGCATTCTGTTGCGCGCGCGCAAACACAAACTGCTGGACTTTGAGGGCGAGATGCTGTATCAGCGTCGCGACGATGATGTGCCCATCTTTCTGTTGAGGCCCATTGTTGAAATACGACGGGAGCTGAATGCCAAGGTTGAGGAGATTAAACGTGGCGCCAGTCCAGCGCCCCAGTCGACGTCCGTGATGCTCGACAAAAGTGCTCACGAGCAAAAACTGAAGGTGCAGTCGGAGCAGCGAAGTGCATCCAAATCGCGCACACCTTCGCCAGGACTGAAATCGAAATCAAAGTCCAAGTCACCATCGCCAGCCGTACAAGATAATCCGGACGCAATAACAGCATTGCCGCCCATAGCAACCAAACTGGGAGCAGCAGCGGCAGCGCCTGCTGCAACTGCCGCTGGCGATGCAGCTACTGCAGCTCCAGTCGCAGCAGCGGCACCTACTGAAACGCCAGTCGCAGCTGATGTGCCTGTAGTTGTCATTGATCAGCCACCTGTGGAAGCAGCCGATGCGGCAGAAGTAACACCAGCAGCTACAACCGACCAGATGGAGCCGACAAGTGTATCCCAAGCGGAGCCAGTGCCTGCTCCAGTACAAGCAGCTGAGGCCGACGCTCCAGCTGAGACTGCTGATGCTGCTGATGCTGCTGCTGCTGCTGCTGCAACACCTGTTGCAGCTGTTGCATCGAGTCAACCTGTTAGCGAATTGCCCACAATTGTTATTGAAGCCAGCGCCACATTTGTGCGCACGGTCAGCGTGGAGCAGCTGCCGGAGCAGGCGCCGACTGCCGAAAGTATCTAAAATGGCAAGCAGGAGCCAGAGCAGGACTTTGAAAGGGTTTTTTGAAAGCACTCGCAACTACTAAAGCGGCAGCTTTAAATTGCAGTAGTCTAGTTTAAAGCATAGTTTAACTTATAATTAGTGTTAACAGCACTGAAGACACTGAAAAGGAAGGAAAGAGACAGCAAGTGAGAGAGAGAGAAAGAGAGAGAGAGCAACTATTTATAATTGAATAATGGACGTAAACATAAACATATATGAATATTTAAAGTAAATGTAATACATATAGACACAGTATTATATAAAACTCATACTTTTTAATGCATGGTTATTATATAATATGTTGTAGTAGTTTAATACTCAATATAAATAAACATTTTTAAATTCAAATTTCCATGGCGCTGCCACACCGCCACACAGCCACACGCACACCCAACTGCCGACTGTATGGCAACGCTCTGACAACACGCGCACAGCTGTTGAGTGCCGCCTTTTTGCCGTTTGTTAATAGCGAACAGACCCCCCAACATAATTAATTTGCAACGGGGCCTTCAATCCGGTTAATAATGCGCAAATTTACAGCATTTGCATGCGGCACTGGTGCCGGTCTGGCCGCCTACTATTTGCAAAAGCTGCGCGATCCACAACTGGCTGTGCACAACTCGTGGACGAACAGCGACCGGCCAATTAGCGAGTGTGCGCTATGGGACAGCAATTGGGATTTTCGTGATCCGAAGAGTCTGGTGCGGCCGCAAAAGAACGACTTGCCGCAGGAGCAGAATCGCTACAACAGCGATCTGGAGAAGCATGTGGCGAAGAGTGCACGCCATATCATACTAATACGGCACGGTGAATATCTGGACGTTGGTGATTCGGATGATACGCACCATCTGACCGATCGTGGTCGCCTGCAGGCCAAATATACGGGCCAACGATTGCGTGAACTGGGCATCAAATGGGACAAGGTGATCGCCTCAAATATGGTGCGTGCCCAGGAAACGGCCGACATAATACTAAACCAGATCGACTACGACAAGGCCAAGCTAAAACATTGTTCGTATCTGCGTGAAGGCGCACCAATACCGCCCCAGCCGCCCGTGGGACACTGGAAACCGGAAGCCTCGGTGAGTAACCCAGCTTGTGGTGCAATAATATAAACAATATTCTATACCACATACAGTGCCTCTCATAACTATGCGACACTTGCAGAGCATTAGGTCAAATCTTTGAATTGGAGCGCTTCAAATAAAACTCTTCGCTTTGCCACATTTTTAATCTAATCTGCTAATCCCCGACCTATTTTAGGGATATTGAAGCTTGCATAACAACCAAATCTGGATACATATACACCTCGTTAGGCGTTAAATGGATAAACTGTTCAAGCAAGATTAATAACCATTCGCATTTGGCTTAATTTGCAGCAGTTTTTCCGGGATGGTGCGCGCATCGAGGCCGCCTTCCGACGCTATTTCCACCGTGCCTTACCGGAGCAGGAGAAGGAGAGCTATACGCTAATTGTGGGTCATGGCAATGTAATACGCTATTTTGTCTGCCGTGCACTGCAATTCCCGGCGGAGGCCTGGCTGCGCATCAGCATCAATCATGCGTCCATCACGTGGCTAACAATCAGTCCATCTGGCAATGTGTCCATCAAATATTTGGGCGACACCGGCTTCATGCCAGCCAAATATCTCACTCATCGTATACCCCGCGATGCCAAGAACGTTGTCTAGTTCTAGTCGGAAATGGTATTTTATTTTATTTTTTCATTGATTTTGTATTCCTTTTTATAGGCTGGTACACAGCGCCAACGATGTTCAAGCAATATTCAAGCAATGATATAACCGTGTTGTCCTTTAAAGAATAGTATTTTTTTAAAACAAATCTACTTAAATAAATTCAAATGAATGCTCTTGCAAACTGTGCTGCAGCTCGGATTAGAGCGGGACAGAAACTGGCGAAGAAGCAAAAGTTACTCTTTTGAATTTGACTGACTTATTTGTGTTCTCGTAAGACCAGCTGCAGAATGTGTCCGAATCTATTGACTGTTACCATGTGGAATTTCTAGTTAAAGCAGTTAACAAAAGAGTCCTCATATACCTTAATTTATAAGACGCGATCGTTGTTTTGAGATTGGCGCATACATTAAACATTCATGTCGCCTGGAAACGCGGCATTTGCGCCTATCGATTGTCAGATTTAGTGTCGATTATTGCATGCACTTTGAGAGTGCTGGCAAACGCGCAACTGAGGTTGCCACATATCGTGCAGATTTTCATGAATGCGGCAACCTCTGAAATTTTGATATCTTCATTTTATAATTGAAAACATAAGCGGATTGTTAACTGTTTTCCTGCTAAATAAACATAGGCAATATGTCGGAAATGTCTGTTGCCAAATTGTCCCTTCGAAATCTAGGAACGATGAGCAACAGGGACATGGAGCATTTGGCGCCCATTATTTCGAAGAAGTCGCGGCGTGTCAAAAAGAAAAATTTGAAAAGGAAAATTCAGCACGAGTGGTCAGAGAACGAGGTTATAAGCCTAATCAAAGCTGTTAAACAACAACCATCGATCTGGATGGACGGTCCATTGCAGCAAAAATTGAATAGATCAGACTGCTGGAACAGCATTATCGCTGCCCTTGCCATAGACGGCGTCGACGTCAACGAGGCCAAAACAAAATGGGCCTCGCTTCGCGTCACTTACAGGCTTAATTTAAGCAAAAGACAAAGCGCGGGCCTGGCTAATACCAGCGCTGTGGTCTGGCGTTATTTCGAGCTCATGTCGTTCCTGGACCAAAATAACGCGGATCCATCGAATGCTGCGGTAAATGATCTGCCTTTTGATGCTTAACATTGTGCTGAATTCCGCCAACATTCTCTTGCAGCGTAAAGAGCATACCCCAAGCCCTGAAACGAAACCTTTTGCGCAGACTCGGCCGTCACGGGTGGTCGCTACGTCGATCAAGAGACGTCGGACACGCGGCAATGCTAGCTGCACAACGTCCACACCAATGATACCACTGGTGTCCATCGCAGCAAGCACTTCACTGGGTGCATTACCATCGGCTGCGATTGCGCCAGGCGTGACAACCCCATTACCATCTCCTACTGGCGCCTCACAAAGTCCGGCAAGATCGTCATCCAGTAAATCAGCGTCTCTATCAGCACCGGCAGCTGCCGCCTTGCAAGCTGTAGCCGCTGCTTTGCCAACTGCGGCAGGCGCAAACTCCAATTCGGACGCAAATTCGGCATTTTGCGAATATCTATTGTCGGAAATGCGAACAATTTCCAGCGACCACGCGCGTGCACTACGACACCATCTGTCCCGAACGCTGTTGCAATTCCTAGAAAATGTTAAGGAAGCTGACCAAATGGCACAATAATCTTGGTCATAAGTAACCACCTCCAGGTAATAGCTCATCTAATGCCATATTCCAAAACTATGCTAAACTTAAGCCTGAGAACAACTCAACGCGCAGTTGTTTTTTTTTTTTTAATTTATATTTATTAAGACCTTTCTAAATAGGAGAGACGTGACTCGAAATGCCCACTCGGTTTTAAAAAAAATATATTTTAGATGTCTCATTTGATTACGTGTCATAAAATGAAGCTTTGAAAAGCCAAAAAACAATATATATATATAAGAAAATAATTAATGTCAATATAAAATTGAGTTTTATAATGTACATCGGTCAGTTTTAAAGCGATTTTAAAAATGGTATATTAATGTTAAAAACATGGATTCAAAACAACTTGAAAAAAAGTACAAATATTATCTTAAGCATAAGAATAAGAATAATAAATATGGATTTCTCGACAATGCATCGATCTGGCTTGATCTGCAGCTATTAGCCTTAACCTAAATATATATGTACCGAACTAGGTGGACTGCAGCACCTGCTGCAAGCGCTGCAAGCACTTGCGTATGCCCACATCCTCACCAGCGCCGCGTTTTAGCTCCACGCTGCGCGCCTGCTCGCGCACAAACCCAAAGAGGGGCGCCACCATTTGGGGCGCCTGCTCCGCCAGCTTGATGAGCATCTGAAAGTAAAAGTAGGTGCAGTGCGCCAAATGCTTCTCGGCCAGGCTGCGTATATCGCTGGAGCAGAGCTCATGTGCCGCTGTCGAGCGCTGAAACTGGCGCAAATTAACGAGCACACGATACAGGCTCAACACCTGGACGCGACTGGGCTCCAGTTCGCCGACAAACATCACATGCTCCAGCAACGGCACATGCACCGCTCGCAGCAACGTCAACAGCTGCGCCTCTGGGCTGGGCAGCTGCTCGCGTGACATCTCCATCGCCTCGTCCAGACCGCTAAGAAGCTGCTGCAGCAGCGTCAAGATTAGGCCAACATGCGTGCCCGCCTGGCTGCGCTGCACGCCCAGAAACTGGCTGGCCAACTGCTGTAGCACAAACTGCGCCAACTCCCCATCCGTATCCGATTGCAGCAGCGTTGTATATGGACGCGCCACCAGCTTGACATTGCTAGAGAAGCCGAAATGCGGTGTCCAGTGCAGCACAAGCTGCTCCAGCGTGCGGCTGAGATACGCATCCGTGCGATACGGCAGCCGGCCAATGCCCTGCAACAACACCGGAAATATCTTGTGCACCAGCTGCGGCAGTCGACCCTCGGGCGGCACGCCCGCCTGCAACTGTGTGGTCAGCAGGAAACGCACCATGGCCAGGTGAAAGAAGCAGCTGGGCTTGGAGCGGACATAGGACAGCGTTGCGCAATTATATATAACAATGGCCAAGAAGTTGTAGAAACGTGCTCCCAGCTCAGGACGCTCTTGGCGGCCTTGCGTCTCTGCGTTGCTGCGTGCTCGCTGATCCGTGGGCAGCCAGTGCTCAAAGTGCGCCACATAGGCGTGCAGCTTGTGGCTGAGCTGCATGCGTACATGGGCCACGGCCTCCTGTTGCTGTGCGCGTCGACCCAAGGCTCCAAAGAAAGCACACAGTGGCTCCCGGCCGGCCAGCGATTCGGCGTCCAGGCCGAGCGCACGAAACTCTTCCAGCTGGATGACATGCGGCGTCAGCGCAATCACCGTCTCGTGTTGGGCATTGAGCAGCACCAAGGATTTAATCCACACTTGAAGGATGAGCACACCGGACGGTTGCTGGCCAACACTTGCTACATCCTGAAGCACATGAAGCAGCAGCTGTGCGCTGGCTGCCGTATTCGCCGGCTCGACGCCCAGCAGCAGAGAATCGAGCAGTTTTTTGTCCTTGTCCAGTGCCACAAAGTCGGCGGCCAGCTTGGGCAACCAGCTACTAAATCCGTTTACGTATTGCAGACGCAGCTGCGGCAGCACATGCTGCTGCAGTGCCTCCCACACGCTTGCCGACATGTGGGCTTTTAGTTTTTGTAGTAGCAAATGTAATGCCTGCCAGACGCGCTCCTGTGCCGCCTGTGGGCTGTGCTCAATGTAATGGGTCAGCCAGGGCGCTAGCAGCAGCTGTTCGCCGCGTGCAAAATCATCGGCCAGCTCGAAGATGGGCTCCAGCGTGGCCGCATAAATGCCGCCAACATCCGTATCGTTGCGCACGGCTGCCAGCTGTGACAGCAGCTTGGCCACATAATCGTCCAGTGGCTGGCGACGTTGCGCATGAAGCAGCAGCACAGCCATATGACCTTTGGCTGCCAACAGGCGACGCGCCGTGGGCAGCTTGTCCAGCGCCAGACAGAGCAGCATTTCGCGCAGCTTGGGCGCCAGCTCCCCAAACTCGCCATACGTCAGCAATAGGCAGAGGAACAGCTCAATAACATGGTGTATGCCCGACTCGTTCAGCGCCAGCAGCTTGGCAGCACTGAATTTGCTAAAGATGCGTCCCAGCAGCTTCTGTGCCTGATTACCACGGCCCTGTGCCGGCAGCTGTTGGAGCGTTTTTCCCAGCAACAGCGCGAACAGCGTAAAACTGCTTAGATTTAGATCATCCAGCTGCGGCTTGGCCAGCAGCGTCCGATAGCGTTCCAAATAGGCAGCGCCGCTAGCGCAGATCAGCGGCAGTTGCTCTAGCTGAGCCGTGCCCGCACTAAAGTTACAGTTGAGTGAACGATGCAGACACTCCCACAGCTGGCAGAGCACATCCGTGTCGGCTTGGCCCCAATGCAGCTGCAACGGTGCCAACAGGCACAGATAGACACGTCGCTGCTGCTCATCCGGCTGGCTGGCCAGAAACTGACGCAGCAAGCCGCCCGTCTGCAGCTGATCCGCAGCTAGAGGCGCCGTTTGTAAGCGCTGGACTCCAGCCGCATCGTAAGCGCCCAAACGAGCCAGACTGAGGCGCAGCCAGGCATAAAACTCATGGTAGGCGACGGCGGCGCCGGCAGCGTCCACTGAAAACAGAATACAACAAATTGAAATCTCAGCGGCCGTTGATGTATATGAAACCTACGCTGCAGCTGCGCCTTGTGGCGCTGCATGGCCCTGTGGAACAGCGGCCAGAAAGCAGTCTCCGTGTCCGTTTGCTGGTTTAGCAACAGCCAGAGCCACAGCTCCTTGCTGCAGCGGCACATAAAAGCCGAAGTGTGGAGCAGCTCGGCACTGTGCTTGCTTTTATGATAATAACTGGCGCATAGCACCAGATCATCCAGAGTGCGCTCCAATTGTGACAGATATGTTGACTGCAATGTTGTTTCAAGTGCATTTGCTTCCAACTTGCGCTGCAAGCACAAGTCCAGCAGACGCCACTCGAGTGCGCCGTGGTATAGATGATAAGCCGGCGCCTGGCACTCGTTGCCCTTGCCATGCTCGGCAAAGTACAAGATACGCCAGGCGGCCGCGTCCAGGCAGCTGTTGAGCAGCTCGCGCAGCTGTCTAACTGCCGGATATAGCAGCTGCCACTGTTCTACCGAGTCCATGTCGTGCAGCAGCAGATGATAGTAATGTGTGACCTGCTGGCGTACCGTGTACCAGCCACTGGCAGCATGCAGTGAGGACTTGGATTGCAGCTGCTGCTGGCCCGCCACAGCGCCGCATAACTTCTGTATATTCTTGCTGATCGAACGGGATTAGCATGTGGTACGTACAAACGCAACTGGATACTCACCAAGCCTCGCCATGTAGATAACGCAAGACTGCGCACACTCTCAGCTGATCCAATTCGAAGTCAAAGCACAGTCTGTCCAGCCGGCTGCGTGGCACCTGCGCATTCAACGCGTAGCCATTACGTACAAATCCAGTGCTGGACAATTCGGATTGTGTCTTGATTGTATCGCGGCCAGTGCAGCTAAACTCGGGCAGCAGATCCAAGGCATCGTCCTCATGTTCAAACTCCTCATTGCTGTTCAATAACTGCTCCAACGGTGGTTGCGATTCTGGTTGTGGCTTTTGTGTTGCTTGCAAAAAGGCGGTTAGAATGTCCTCATCGTCATCCGACTGGAATAGATCATAGTCCATTGTTGGTGCAATGGACTAAATCGCCGGTTCAAGCTTATTATTATTTATTGTTATTGATAGCAGGCATTGAACTGCAACATTTTCGCGCCAAAACTTCTGCATATTTAGATGGCAATATCGATCGCACAATTATCGATAAATTGATATTGCGCAAGTGTTTTGGCTAGAGATGAACGGGCTTTGTAAGTTAAGTGTCAAGAAAATATTCTATTTATTGACAATATATGAAATAACACGCAGTTTTCTAGGTAAATAACTTTCTTGTGTGTTCGTAGCCCTTAGTATTGATTTGTTCGTTTTGAAGTTTGAATATTGAGTTTGGCGGCAAAACAAGCTCTGCTTCTTCTTCAAAACACTCACATACTCGATACCTGTCGAGACATTCGATATATTTAAGACAATGGAAATATATCGTCCATCCCCGTTGTGGACATTTGGACTTTTGTTTCGTTATTCTTATCTTCGAAGTTCCTCATCCTCAATCTATTGTTCTATTAATTAAAACCAGTAACAGTTACGTAGCAAGATGTCGTTTCGACCACTTGTGGAAGGTGATTGTGGAGGTGTTAATCCGTTGATGCAGCTGGGCGGCCAGTTAACCCGTGATGTTGCCCACAAGGATGAAGGTTTTTCTCAGCCGCAATTCGAACGCAGCTCACGCCCGGATGAGCAGCTAGTTAACGATTTTCTTGGCCAAGTGGCTGCCCCACCGCAATCTTTTCAAATGGACACACTGATGCAAGAGATGCGTGGTATCAACATACATGGAGCACCGCAGCAAAACGAGGTAGCCGGCCAATGGAGCCGGGACTTTATGCAGCAACAGTTGCCCAATAAAAGTGTGCACTTGCCGCCACAACACCAACATATGCAGCACTCGCAGGAATTCTTTGATGAGCCACTAATCACCAGTCAAAATTTTATGCCGCCACAAATGATGCGACAGCCATATATGGCTATCACAGCTGCACCCCAGCAGCAACAGCACGATACCTTTTTCGATGAGAGCATGGAGACGATCATAACCGACAATTTGCCAAAGGTGGCCAATTCTGGCGAGTCTGTCGAGGATTGGATTAGCGATTTTCAGCGCAACAAAGAGCACAACGAACAGACGGCTACAAATTTCAATGAAAAGTTCTGGCAGCGCCTACAGGACGAATGGCAGAAACTGGCTGAGGAAAACGAGCATCCCTGGCTATCCGAGTACAATGAGAACCTGGACGCTTACAAAGAGTACGAATTTGCTGAACAAAATCCCATGGCCGAACTGGACAACGCC